TGTGAGTTGGCCTGTACTGGTCAAGGAGGTGAGGCTTTACCCTCACCTCTCCGCGACCCGCTCTTTCTGACATGCGCTCGGGCTGTGAGCCCTCGGCCAGCGTTCGGGGTCTGTCGCTTGACGGCAGCGACCCCTCACTTAGTTTGGGATTTAGGGCTTTGGGGTTGAAGTTTAGGGTTGAGGCTTGACTCCCTGGTGCTTAGTAGGCAGGGAGGGACGGCGACTGTCGTTGCGTTTTTCTTTGGACTACTACTGGGATCTGGTTGAGGCTGGAGGACTAAGCGCTTGGGAGTCGCGATTTAGGGATTAAGGTTTAAGGCCCTGTTGCAGATAATGAGGAGTCTTACGCTTACATGACTGGGATGAGTGATTGTGGTGGCAGTAATGTATGTTCAGGTCGCCCTGCTAGCTGCTGTCGGGCACAAGCTGCCAAAGACAAGACCTGTGACGTTTGAGTTGTATCTGTGGTTTGGCTGGTTTGCAACTTGGGAGAATAAGAGGATAAAACAAGTTCCCATATGGTTGCACAAGGAGCCTTCTGATGAATAGTTGTGGTGCCTGAAGCTACAGCCCAGGTAAGATTGGTTGTGAGTGCTGAGCTTGAAGAACGGCTGCCAAAGAAAGCATGTGGCAGGTTGCGCAAGTGCTTGCGCAGAGAAAATGCTCGTGCCTTAGGCGGTCTCAGATCTTCCAGTGGCATTTACTCACCCAGAGCAACCACTTGTGTAAGTTTTAACCATACGTCTAAAAGGTAAATAGACCAAACTATTAGGTACTCAGCGCCCTTTTTCTGCTTGCACTGGTTACTCTGCTGGGTTGCTGTTACGGGGCTTAACTGTAGCTACCGCAATACAGATATGCAGTATCCGATACGTCTGCCTTAGTATGGTAAGTGGACTCGAGTTCCTTAACACCAACCCAGCCTAGGTACTACAGGGGGCTAGATACATAGCTACCAATAATGTGGTTCTCGCGTCTTTGTGTAATTATGGTATAAGGTACCGCAAATAGACGTATTTAGGCCCCTGTATAGATTTTCCTCATTTTTTGGAACAGTACTTAGGTACCCTCGTAGTGCCCTTTTCCCTTTTCATTTGGGGGTCTCCTTATTAAAACTTGACCATTAGGAAAACGGTACCCGCATTATTTTGGGGCTATTGGGGAACCCAAAGCACTAGACCTTAACCTCTTCGTATCAAGGGGTTACTGGGGAACCCTAAGCCCTTAAACCTATAAGGTAACTTTGGCCAAGTCTCAAGTGGGGTTTCCAAAAGGCAGGCTGCTGACTGGCAGGCTCGCTGAGAGTAATGGCAGCAGCCGCAAAGGGATCATTCCAGCAAAAGGAAAACAGTTTGGTCAATTTTCATAGTAATATTATTCTCATGCTTATCAGCTTACAGTATCTTATGATTAGTATTACTAGTGCCAGTATTGTGTGGTTTAAAGCTTTAGTCTCTAGACGCTAGTCATAGGCAGTATGGAAGCGCAAAACTTTTTGATTGCGCCACCTTTTTACCTGCCGGGATGGGGTACGTACCCTCTATTTGGCGTTTCATTATTATTCAAATACAAGAGCGACTCAGCATTGTTTTCGGATGTGTTATGTTCTTCCTCGCAAGGGATTATTGCATATAACCCAAAGGGAAATACATAGGTGACACCATGATGCAAAGAGATAATGAAACCTGCTGGCTGTGGCGCGCTAGACCCTGAAGAGTGGGTTGGACAAGCTATGGTCCCTCTTTGGGGTAGCCCAAGCAATAAGGACCACATAAAACAGGATTCCAACATGTGACAATATGTTTAGCAACACTTCACATAGGCCTCAAGTTAGGAGGTAAGTCCAGCCACTGCTATATGAAGATTCCAAAAATGTGAGGTCATGTTTTGGCATCTATCAGACGGATTATACAATCTTGGTGTACATTAGGGGGACCCTTGTTTTCCGAAATGCAAATACACCCAAACCGTATAAGGATTATGGTGCTGTATTATTATACCTACACTCATCCAGGTTTTTTGCCCAGCCATAAGGCGTGACTGCCATCCACAAGCACTATACGACGGAAGAGTGGAAGAAGTGGGCAGAAGGCGGGGCTGCGAGGAGGTTTCAGGCTTTAGGAATTAGGGTTTAGGGTTTAGGGTTTAGGATGCTTGGCAGCCCTAGACCCTCAACTCCAAACCCAATGGTCCACAAGAGACGATATGGGTGGTTGTCAAAATTGTGGTCCTTTTTTGGGTACCCTAAATATTAGGTGCCGTATTATAATCGGGATCAAAAAGGGACCATAATTTTGACAACCACCCATATACTATTGGCTACTACTCACTTTCCAACATGATAATTCGGTACCTGAGTCCTGTACAGTACAATAAGGCTGCATGACTTCAGTCTAGTGGAAGACCATCGTTTCCAAGGTGTAAGGTACTTTTTAGTTTCAGGAACGACTTTCAGTATCCACGGTACGTCCTGAAACCGAAAACCCTAAACCCGAAAACCCTAAACGCCAGGTCCCGGCAAGGATATCATGGACTATGTGGCAGTCAGCACCGGAATCCTTCAGAAGGACCAGCCCGTTATTCTAAGGTTTGAAGGAATATGAAGAAGCAAAACTAGGTTGGGGGGGGGGGTAGTATTGGGGTTTATAGGGATAATGCAGAAGAAAATGGAAACTATATACCATAATGGGGTTATTTGGGATTTAGGGTTTAAGGTTCCATTTATATGGCGTTATATAGGCTTTGGGGGCTGTGGGTTTAGGGTAAAAGGTGGTGATATAGCTTATATAGGATTTGTGAATGTCACACACCAGATTCCCGATCTGTTCGAGAGGGTCCAGCTGATGCTCATGATGCTCATCAGGTGCCCCTTGATCTGATCAAAAGGGTCCAGCTGATGCTCATGATGCTCATCGGGTACCCCCCCCGATCTGATCAAAAGGGTCCAGCTGATACTCATGATGCTCGCAGGGTACCCCCGTGATCTGATCAAAAGTGTCCAGATGATGCTCATGATGCTCGTCAGGTACCCCTTGATGTGATCAGAAGGTTCCAGCTGATGCTCATGATGCTCGTCGGGTAGCCCCTGATCTGATCAAAAGGGTCCAGCTGATGCTCATGATGCTTGCAGGGTGCCCCCTGATCTGATCAAAAGGGTCCAGCTGATGCTCATGATGCTCGCCGGGTACCCCTTGATCTGATCAAAAGGGTCCAATTGATGCTCATGATGCTCATCGGGTACCCCTTGATCTGATGAAAAGGGTCCAGCTGATGCTCATGATGCTCATCGGGTAGCCCCTGATCTGATCAGAAGGGTCCGGCTGCTGCTCATGATGCTCTTCGGGTATTTTTTGATCTGATCAAA